AAATGGGATGTCCCGACGATGTCACTGGCCATCCGCTCTACAACCGTTGGCTGTATCGCCGCGAAGTCGAAGACAGTGTGGCCTGTGGACGAGCACCTGAGATGCAGTCGGTCTTGTTTGAGGATGAACAGCCACACAGACCTCAAGAGACCAGTGACCGTACGACTGAGATCAAGTGTCGTAAATGCCGGTTGGTTTTCTTACTTGTCTTCAATTTAGACCACTGTCTGATAGGCTCTCCAGGCGTACGCTGGCCACCACGCCATTCATCATACCACATGGTCCACGGCAGAATAACAAGGCAACGGAATGTGCTCACATTTTTCTCCATCCGCTGACGTGGATGCGACCATCTCTTTTTCCTAATACCACTGCAGACTCCGAAGCGACAGAATACGGTTCCCGTCCTGATGATGCACCATTATCTGGCCGCTTGACGTGTCCGAATACAGCTTGTGGAGCTAATATTGGCAAATTTGCGTGGCAGGGTATGCAGTGCAACTGCGGTGAATGGGTTGTCCCAGCCATCGGTCTCGCGAAAGCCAGAGTCGATATATCTGATCGGTTTAGCATGGCCCGTGGGCCGGGTGGTTTGCCGCCAGCTGCTTTCGGGATCCGCATGCCACCGGGCATGAGACCTCCAGATGATTCAGGCGCGGGCCGCGGCAATCTTTGACGTGGTGCTCAGAATCTAATCCACCAGCGTCTCGATGCAGATGATTAGCAAGGGATGAGACACTCCAAGAACACTTGGGCGCGTCGCCACGTGCTCATCACCAACATTAATCCAAGTCCCGACGCCCTTATGTGTCTGGATTACGCTCAGCTTACGTTAGCAGACCGAGTCATACTCGCGTTAAGAGCAGTCCCGGGTCGCAACTCTTGGAATTCAGGAATGTTCAACTATGGACACCACCGATTCTCAAGTGGCGAGACATTGAAGAAACTGAGTAAGATAAGGCGATCGTCAAATGCAGCCATCCTTCAGACAGTCGAGGTTGACTGTATCAAAGAGAATGGGCGATCGGCGAGACCAAGAAGTCCGTTGGCTTGTATGTAATGGTGTATTTGGCCCACGAACAGGATGTCATTTCTATGAGGGTGGGTAGCAGAAGTTGACAGACAAATATGCGACATCGATCGAATGATGACTCCAACGAGCTCTTATCCACGTCTTGATTTCATCATTCAGAGACCCCTTGCATTAGGATGCATTAGGAATAGCGGTCAGCAAGCAAGACAAGGAACACATGGTAATCTCATCAGACTTCGCAAGCAAGGTATTGTGCAAGAAGAATCTTCAGTTGGGATCCACGAAATTACACTTCTAGCGTCAATGTGTTTCGGAGGACCCTTATGCCGATCGTTCTGTGGGGATTGTTAAAATGAAAGCGGCCTGTGCTAAAACTTGCACCGTACACTGAACCTTATGATGCCTTGACGTTGGAACAACTTAACAAGGCTGATGATTTGCCTTTCATCGGAATGCCTGTCCATTAGTCTGATTACTCGAAATAAGTTGGCACTTCTGAGATGTGGAGACCCTAAGCGCTATAAACCCATAACAGCCTCGTTCCTGAAGACAGCTGGTATAAGCATTGGAGAAATCTCAGTCAATGATGTAATGTCCCCTACATTTGTTGCGCAGTTCAAGTCTTGAGCTTGTTTTCGCGAACTCTGTGAGATGGAGCAATTTTCAGTTTGTACCAGGAAGCGTATACTTTACCAGAACCAGGAACCTACCTTAGCTTGCCTTATGTCATCGAACCAAGGGCCCCCGCGGCTAGTGGCCTGTGCCGCCTGTCAGCATTCATCCAGGATTCAGGGCTAAAACCCACATCCCCACGAGGCTGTTGGAGGGGCCTAAGGCAGCCCCATCTGGAATGGACAGAGCGACCAATGGGTGTTGTGCACCAGTCCAGGATCTGCGGCAAGAGAAGATCAAGGATGAATGACATTCTAGTTTACTAACCTTCAGACCTTCCGGAAGATAGCGTAACTACCTTCCTAGAGGGGTACTGAGAATAATCCACCTTAAGGCAATAGTCAGCCTTATCAGCTAAACGCTTCTCGTATGCTGTCGAATACTGATATTGTATACGCGGCGATGATCATATTTCAAGTACACTACTCTACGCAGTACTATGTAGCTTCAGAGGAAGATTCCGTAATTCCGTTGCTGGTTCTCTAGTGGTTGGACTACTGGTAAGCACAAGTCAACCCCTGGCCGTGGTAGGCTAGCAGAGCCTAGGCTAATGTGGGCTGCAGAACTAGTTAGCTTCGGCACGGGGGCTGTGCAAACTGCTCTTACGCAACTGGACGCACCAAGGACCCATGGACCTGCCTGTTTGCAATTTTCTATCTTTCCACTTCCGCGGGGTTCCGCGTGTCAGGGGCTGTGGGGCTTTCTGTATCGTATCTGTGTATTTTTCATTTCCTACCTTGGGTAATTCCTTCGTCTGTTGCCGGCGTCAACAGGTAGACCACGCCGTAAGCAGCACTCAGCGATCTTCAATGTCATCATGATTGATCAATATTCTGGGTTCTGGGGAGAGAGATTTACATGCAGCTGCTGCACTTCAGACCACTAGAGAGGAAGGTATGACGGAGTCATGGACCGACCAGCTATCAACTATAAAAGGAGTATGTAGGGTTGGCCATCGCGATATGTCACCCGTCTGGGCAGCACTAAGGAAGTCCGTGCTTGTCAGCCAGTCATCTCTGCCAAGGAGATGCACAGCCTACCTGCCTTACGGAGACAAGAAGTAGTCCACTTCGCAAGGTGTATGTACTTCACTCATTTCAGGAACCAAGCGATCAAACCAGATCGAGCGGCGAGACTGTTTGAGCTGCATACCTCTGTCTCCTCTGTTTAATGCAAAGTGGCAGTTGGTTTATCTGAGGATGACGTCACGCGGTGGATTTCCGAGATTGTAGATCGATAATCGCAGGGCTGGCACCTTAGCACCCTTGCAGTTACATCAGGGGATTGATGATCTCCTGATGATGGGCAGAGAATCGTGAGTGTAACTGTAGGCACGGCAGGCTTCAATGTTGCAACCTATTCAGGCAACCAGCATACCTTGTTCCTCCTCGTCCAAAGGTGCCAGCCCTGCTAATCTTCGGCGATATTGACATCCTTGTATTTGATCAGGCGACAGGCAGCTTGCTACTCAGTGAAGGAGCTATTCTTCTGATGACTGGCGAACAATAAATTCCACGTAGAGAGGACAGGGCAGTACTTGGCGCAGCAGATCAAAAGTTGCGTCCATATAGTTTTCTGATTGCAAGGTATGGTTCAAGATAATCTCTGCAATGAACTGCCGCCGAACTGAGCGAAACAGGAGATGTGGTATAATCCGCCATTCACACCTGGCTTATGCATGCTGTGACCAGAAAGATCAGCAGATACTCTGTCATAGTATCCGAACGTACCGCACCGTTCGCTTTCTGCAACGGCTTGATCACATCGTGCTTCCTTATCCAGGCTAGTGCTTACCACAGTATGCACAGCCGTCTTTCTGGAAATTTTGTGAGACGTTCTAGCTTGCCGGCTGCTGGCGGGCTATCCGGATCATGTCGTGACTCGGTCATTGCCAATGAATCTGTCTTCTCGGTATTTGAGAAGGCGGAACTGGTATGACCGCAAACAGGATCAGCAGCAGGATAGTGGGATGCTTTTGTTGAGTCGCTGCCGCCATTCCAAAATCACTCGCTTGAGCTCAGAATCCGCCAGCGCATCAGCCTTGAGGCTACCCGCGGATCAGGTTTCATTTGGTGTCAGCCTTGCCAGGCATGAAGGATCCGCATCCTAGTCCGTACTCCGCGCACGACTCCCGAAAAGGTTTAACGTTCAACGAATAGATAGATAGCTTCTATGCATCAAAAAACATGATGGGCATGACTGTCATGTATCAAAGTTCACCGGACGGGACAGATGGGAAGAGAGATGGCTCTTGCAAGCGCTGACGATTCCGCTTGGCCATTTCAATATTACGCTGTCTGTCGACGCGCATCTGGTAGAAATTTCTGTCCATCGTTAGTTCAGATCAAGGATGACGTGGTTAGCTACGTATCCGGTTTGGGAATAGACATACTTATGCAAAGCGAAAATACGAGGCGAGTCATCCGTAGCGGATGACGAAGCGGACTTTGTGAGGGACTCGATCTGTTCCCGTCAGCGAATCGTCTTAATTATTCCAGTCGCAGAGGTAGAAAGAGGGCCATTTCTACCTTCTCATCTCTTTCTTTCTCAAGTGATTTGGCGCCGCCGTCGCCCTCCTTGTCCGATTTCTTGGATTTCTTATCTGAATCCTTCGGCTCATCATCGGTCTTCTTCTCCTTCTCTTTTTCCTTCTTCCGTCGCTGCTTCTCTTCATACTCCTTTTTCACTATCTCAATTTCCCGCGCCAATGCTTCCTGCTTTGCCTTGGCTGCCGCCTGCTCCGAATCCACGATAGGCGAGCAGAAATGCCTATCTTGTAGATGGATAGGGCAGACATAGAAAAAGTCCTACGTAGTCAGCAGGATCCCGACAGAGATGACCGTACAAGATGACTGCATCTCAATACCAAGGCGGAGCCTACCTTGTTGTCTGGTGTAATCAGAACACTAGCGGAGGGCTTGTAGCAAACGAAGCATGCTTTGGCGGCATTATCGGCCACCCGACGTAGATGCCATACATTGGGGAGTGACATTGGGCCTTCAGCAAGAGCTCAAGTCTATAAGATGTATAAGTTAGATATAGAGTGGGATCCGAATTATTGACTACAGAAACGAAGGAGATTCTTTGTAGAGGGCGACAAGTTTTAAGAGCGATTGTTGATCGCTGGTGCGGAGCACCGGATGTCATGTGACTGGCTACTATGTCCGTCTGGCGATGTTCACTTGCCGCAAAGTTCTCCAGACTCGACAATAGTGTCTAGCTGTTGATATATTTCCATCACTGTAAATACAAACATTCCATATTTCGACTAATGCTCTGCTCCAAATAAAAATCTCTACTCGGTCACACTATCCTTGATGTTGCGAAGAGTGCTGGGCTCCCTAGAACCAGTCACCATGGCGGCAGCATTCTGTGCTCGTCTGCGCGCATCGGTCCAGAGCATAAATTCACCATAAGTTCGGGGCATGACCTGAATGTCTTTCTCAACCAAGAAGGTATAGTTGAATTGGCCCGTAGATTTCCTGCTGCCGTGCTCCACGTCCCTAACCTTAGAGTCGACGCGGACCTGCACTTTGGTGTATGTGGTGCCGTCTCTCTCCACGGGTTCTGTGTGAGCAACCGTAGCCCGTAGGTACAGAACGCTTCCCACGGGCACAGGGTTCTCGAAGGTGCTGGGATCCAGGGAGATGAAGTTGGGACGGGCGTGGGAAAATGAGGCGGCGCAGCAAAATGCGAGTTCGAAAGTCTGCTTGAGGAGGAAGCCACCGAAGATCATAAAGTTGTGTCGGTTGCGATCCTGCGGTTGCATAATCATGGCGGATTTCAGTACTGTGTCGCTCATAAAGACCATATTGTCAGGTCTTTGGGCAGGTGACTCGGGATCTGTTCCCGTGTTAGCATCAGCGTTGTGACAGCCGAAGGGATTCTTGTCACTCACTCAAATATGCCATCTCCTTCGTCCACATGTTATGTATCAAATTACTTTCTTCGGCGTCAGGCGCCTTCTCCAGGAGACTCCTCGTTCTCAGAGCCTTCTTGGCTTGATAATTCTCCTCGCCCTTGTGAAAGAGAAGACGTTCCTCCGCATTTTCCACAAGCAAAGGTGCAATAGGAACGGGCCTAATGGGGATGTCAGTGCTGCTCTCCGAGATCTTGATACTCGGCACTCACTTCTTGGTGGCGGGATCAAGCGAGACCATGGTAAAGGCGCAGGTAATAAGGACATCCTCCGGTTTTACCGGTTCTCCTTCCGCAGGGACCCTGGTCACTTGAAGGGACACCTCCATACTTGATCTCCCCGTGGCATACGTGACCTGACCGCTCAGCTCAAGATCACAAATCTCCATTAGAGGATGCTCGATGGTAATCCGATCCACTGCCGCGGTCACAGTAGCTACTGATTCACCGGCGTGTTTGTACGCGATGATGCCCGCCAAGGCATCCAGGTCCATCAGCAGTGATCCCAGTCTATGAGAGGAGCAATTAATGAGTTATGCCCCACAGAAAGAAAACACAATCGTACCTGATATGTCCCGAAGCATTCAGGTAAGAATCCAGCAACCATTTGTCTTGACTCAAGGGTAAAATCTAAATGATTGCATTCGGTCACTCCATTCGCCTTCGTGCAAAACAGACAACATTCATAGCGCAACTTACGGCACTGTAATAACTATCTGACATTTTCTTTGGTGTCAAGTCTGGCTTTCCCTGCGCACGAGGTGTCTGGCCCGACTGCGCATCCTCGCGACTCTTCGTCAGCGCCTCGATCCACGGAGTCTTGACGCGCATGGGCATCCATGTCGGCTTGGAAGAAACATTGGTCACGGCGCTGGGGTGAAAATCCCTCCACGAGATTAATGACTTTGTTGATGGATGCTCAGCTTTTAGGCGAAGACCGGTTGAGCCGGCCGTGTGTGGTGATAGCCATTGTGCCCGAGTAACAACGGATCTTCGCGCGCTGAGCCTGAACATGATGGAAATGTGAAGTCGTCAGAAGTACCCGATCTTGGTGATCAGTAGGATATAACTGTATATATATAGATTGATGAACCGATCTAGACCAACACCCCTGTTTGACTCCTCTGTTTGCGGAGTAGGGTCAAGGACCAGTGGTCGGCTCGATTAATCGGTTGGGTTCCCGAGGCCCTTTCCGCCCGGATGAAGTCGGGGCCAACAATGACAATATTTCTCATTCATTACTTTATAGAATCTGTATAGGGTTCAAGCTTGTGGAGATCTAAAGAAGCTTTCACTTAATAGACTCCAAATCACTTCCGTGCTCATCGGGATGTACGTTGGTTTGTTGAGAATGTTGTTGATGGTTGATTGTTGACAGCAGATCTGTTGACATCGTCGGGATTTATTTGCCTGAAGCATTCGGCATCAATCGCGGATCGAGTGTTTACGAGCAGAAGAATCTATGCGCGGCTCCAAATGGTCACTACTAGTAGATAGGTACTATCAAACCACATGCTTGCGTTCCTACCACTTGTGCCCTGCCTTCCAACTACTCCACCCAGGCCAAATGTAGGCGATCATCTCTCTCGTCCGAGGATGCGTCAAAATGAAGTCATTGATAAAGGTGACTTTGGGGGGGTCATGTGTCGAACCAGACGGCTCGATACGTTTGATATATCAGCGAACCGGCTCTCATATAATTGTATGAGCACTCTCTAATCTATTACTGTGCCATTGACGTGCTAGTTCAATCAGCCAACACGATGAGTGACCCTAACAACCCCTACATTGAGCAGAGATCAACGCCCCAATGGGCTCTCTATCAACGGGAAAACTTCTTGAAAGCAAGAGAGGGCAAGACTGTGCCTTTCAACACTGGTATGCATATTCTGACACATGGTATAGCATCGAAGGCACGAACTAAGGTTCTAGCATTTAAGATCCCAGAAAACTCGAAGAGCTAGCCCGCGAAAAGCTCAGCCAAGGCGGCTGGTATGTCCGCAAGGCTGGATCTCGATGGATAAGCCAGATACTAAGGCAATCCACAGGTACTATGCCTCCTCGAATGCAGGCATGTCCAATACCCACCTAGCCAACCGACAAGCCTTCTACCGGCACCGCATTGTTCCCCGGCAGCTCGTCAACACCAACCTCCGCGACACAACAACGGAGATCTTCGGCCACAAGGTCTCGGCACCCATCGGGTTCGCCCCGATTGGCATCAACAAGATCTACCATCCTGCTGCTGAAGTCGCCGTCGCCAAGGTCGCACAAGAGCTCAATCTCCCGTACTGCCTCTCCACAGCTGGCAGCACACCAATCGAGAAGGTCGGCGAGGCGAACGGATCAGGCACGCGTTTCTACCAGCTGTACATGCCACACGATGACGAGCTGACACTCTCGCTGCTCAACCGGGCCTGGAAGTCCGGATTCGACGTACTGATGCTCACAACGGATACATGGCAGCTCGGCTGGCGGCACGATGATGTCGCCAACTCGAATTATGCGTTTTACCGCGGCATTGGCGCTGATCTGGGGCTAACGGACCCAGTGTTCCAGAAGCGCTGTCAAGAGGCCGGCATCGACATTGAAAAAGACGTCGTGGCCGCTTCGACCAAGTGGATCGACTCTGTCTGGCATGGCCGGGCCTGGTCCTGGGAGACAATCCCCTGGCTGATAGAGAAGTGGAAGTCCATCTCCGGTGGTCGGCCGTTCGTCATCAAGGGGATCCAGGCCGTCGCGGACGCGAGAAAGTGCGTCGAGTACGGTGTTGACGGGATCGTGGTGAGCAACCATGCAGGCCGCCAGGTCGACGGTGCGATCGCCAGTCTTGATGCGCTGGAGAATATTGTCGACGCTGTGGGTGACCAGATCTACATCATGTATGACTCTGGAATCCGGGGTGCGAGCGACGTCGTCAAAGCGCTGGCGTTGGGCGCAAAGTTCGTCTTTGTCGGTCGTCTTTGGATCTGGGGGCTCAGTATCATGGGCGAGGAGGGCGTGCGCCATGTCATGAAGTCACTCCTGGCGGATTTTGATATATTGATGGGAGTTGGGGGATTTAATAGTGTCAAAGACTTTGATCGGTCTATATTAGGTACGTCGAGCTCAGTAAAGAAAGGCACGGCAGCCGCTGATCATTTATTAGAGTCTTGTCCCAGGTCGTATACCTACATACCGGACAAGGTTCTCTGATATGTTTTGTCTATACGTGCGTTCATAATTTGGAGACCATATTGAAAAATGCATGTACATACACAGAGCTCATTCGGAGTTCACACACTGGGATACTCTGGTAATGCCATCTGTTATATTACAGATCGGACTCTAGGAACCACTCATGCCATCAGTAAAACGTCTGGATTAAAAAGACAGTATGTGTTATAACTTTGTCGAAGGTACCCCTCGGAAAAGCATTCAATTCAAGAGAATGTGCAGTCGTGCTTACGCTGGGTAAATAATAAAAGACCCATCAAGGCGTAGCCGGTACTATAGCAATGTATAGAATGATGAAAGGTATATAAGCTGGTATCGAAAGTTGCAGATTTGGTGTGGTGGAGCTTGGCTACACCAACACCATGCAAAGAAGTGCGGAAACAAAGGGCCAGTGGACAAATCGGGATACAATAGACGCACTCCCAGTATGGACCGCTATGGAGCCAGTCAATGTCGACCCAGCTCCGTCTGTCGCAGAAGGGTCTGCGGCTGCAGCGACCGTAGTGGTTGGTGATGTAATAGGAACAGAACGATTTGCGAAGCCAATCCGATGATTGTCATAGTCGAACACAGAATAGACGTTCTTCAAGAACACATCGCCCAAGAGCCACACGTCGTCTCCGTACAAGGCTTGTCCCACAATAGTGGACAAGCACGCCGAACCGTATGCTGGTCCGACGTAATCCTTGGGGGAGATGTTGTAGCTCAGGCCCGAGAAGCTCACTTGCACCACTGCCGTCGAGTTGCACGGCAGGGTGAAATTCTGCCCCTGTGAGGTCGTGATAGCACCCGGAATGAGGTTGTGCAACACTGTGGCGTCTTTCGGGGGAAGCATGGCGTACGATGTGCCAGTGTCGATGACGGCGGTCTTATTGGCGAAACGACAAGGTGTACCATTCACACTGGCGTCGTCCAAGGGTATCCTCCAGTTATTGCTGTCTCCAGTTGTGTTCGTGTAGATGATATCACCCGTGAACCTGGTCGTATCCACATCGCCAAAATTCGCCGCTCCATCTCTGGCACCATCCGAGTTGCGAGAGAAGCTGAATCCGATAATATTTGATTTGAGAAGGCGCTGCGCCGCGACGGTTTCCATGAATGATGGAGTGTTGAAATTGCTATTAGCCGATCGTCCCAAGCCCAGAATACCATCCACGGGATACGATTCGAAATCGGTGGAAGCATTTTTGGCCAAGCCAAACGTCATATTTACATGCAAACCAGCAAGTGAGAGACTGTCCGTCCCAAGGACGCCGCTGACCAATCCTGTCCCATACCCGACAGCCCAGTTCAGCGGTAATAACTTGAGAGACTTTGAAGCAGCTTCACCGAATGTTTCGTGTCGCTGACAGGCCTCAGTCGTGCAGTCTGAGCCAAAGACCCAAGTATTCGGTCCCCCCGTATCCAGAACCATCCACATCTGCTGGTCTTGGGAGCCGACCCTGACCGTAGCAAAGTAAGAGTAATCGAGGCCCTCCTGGTTAAGAGCGGCAGTGTTGGGTTTTGTAGGTTCTTCTGCCAAGACAACATTGTACTTGTTATCACGGCGGACAGGAACCTTTTTGAGGTCCAGCGTTAAAGAGACGCCATTTGAAGAGGACCCGTGATTGTTGTCTGAGTCGTCCGGCAATAATTTCCATGGCACGAAACGGCGGGCGACATCATTGCTGGCAGACCTGTCGGTCGAGACCTCGAGGTTAAATGAATAAGGAACAAAAGCTGTGACTGTGGAGACGAGAGAAATGGTCGAAAGAAGACATTGTAAGAAATGCATGATCCGAGAGGGGATCTATGTTCGTCGCAATATTGAAAAAACCATCAGAGGGGTCAACGGAGAGTTTGGAGTACCAGAACCTCGGTATATTAGGATTAAATGCCGATAGTGAGAGTGAGTTCAGTAGAAACGAATCTGCAATGCTTGTCTATGGGGTATTACTGTAATTAAAGAGTGAAATCCAGACAAAGCGCGATGAAAGAGCAGACGCTGAGGGTGCAGTCTATAATAGAAGGGGTATAAAGAACAAGCAAATGAAAGAATTCTTAACGGATCAAACGACCTGCACCCTGCTGAGCAATATAATAAGAGCTCATCGCAAAGGTGAGAGATCAGAGATGCAGATGAAGATGAAGATGAATATGAAGATGAGAGATGAAGCGCATGGTGTGCAGCAGGTGGGCAGGTGCTTGACGGATAGGGGATGTTCTCCACTAGCAGATCAGGTATTAAGACCCCAAAGGACTAGAACAAACCTTCAGCAAGTCACTAGCTCTTTAGTGGTAGACTCACTAACTATCTCCAGGTAGCTCCACACCTAAAACAGTTACTCTCATTGTCTAGCTTGGGCACTGTGCAGGCACATAGGACAATTCTCCATCATACTAACACTTATCAGTTTTAATGCTTTGAATGAGGCAGGAATCTGACTGACAAGTGGTTCATGAGTCCGTTTAGTTACGTTCTTTAATAGCCACTTTATGGGTCAAAGCCCTGCTGGCCCCCTCCGATCTGCACATTGATGCTTTTCTCGGGATTTATGGTGAGCGGGGATATCTGAAGGTTGCATCACCCCTGAGAGAAGGTATTGCTGTTCACAATTCATTAGCAGCCGTGGTTCAGATTTCAAAGTCGAGATACCTCTCTTCATCCCTCAAACCGCGGGTCAGAATCTTTCTCAACCGAGGATGTCTTGAACAGGCGAGCAGCAGGAACGCCAAGTCAAGCTGATCCACCGTATGCATGTTGTGCGCCTTTCAGGCTTCCAGCCCTGCCCAGTCAAAAACTAGACCAGACCTGAACAGAGACATTGGATATCGAGTCAGCCACAGAACCTACGAACTGTGAAATCTGCTTTGGTTGCAACTAGCTTGGCGTCATCCTTGGAATTGAGCTGAACAAGAAGTGCCTTTCTTTTATACAAATGGACGAGTCTCATGCAAGAAAGACGACGAAGACTGCCTCGTCACCGTCCCATACATTGCCACCACAAGGAGCTGTTGTCGTCTTTGGACACAAGAGCTGTTTCAGTGCTTCGATAACCCCACTGATTCGCCACTACTGACGTTTTATCATATATGTTGCTATGCTCTGATATCTGTCACATTGGAGATGATCCTGTGCTATTTACCATGGCCTTCAATTATCTAAATTATCAGCGCTGTGGGAAGAGCTCGATAGTCGACCAATCAAGGAAGTCCACTTGATATGAAGTAGATAGTGGTAAATCCAGACTGTCTGGACAGTCGACACGGAGGACATAATGATCCATCTCACAATATCATAAATTCTTCAAGGCGGCAGGCAGAATAGTAGCTAGCATTGCCTTTTCGCTGCATTTGAATCACGTGATATATTCCCCTTCAAAACGCCAAATTCCAGATATTTCTTGGCGAAGAGTTAATGGGAGCGAAGGACTCATGTGACCTTGAATGACATTCTGCCCCTGGCTTTACCGTGTAAGTTCCCTTGCATCATCCTCGGAGTGGGGTATGTGCTCACATGGGCAGTGCTAAATGATTCGTCCTATTCGCGATTGATTCCACAGCTAAAAGAAATAGTGCTTTGTACTCCGTAGTCAACTGGTCTTGAAGAAAGTTGGATGTTCTTCCGCAACTGGAACCTGGGGTAGCTCCCGTCGTGTGCACTGCAGTCTATTGTGCGTTGGCGCTTCAGTCAAGACAGATATCATTGATTGTAATCCTGCCACTCTAAGCAGTAGTCACGAATTTTGTTCCTGCAGGAATGCAATCCTTCACGAAAAACTCGGCCAGGAACCACCAGGACAACGATCGTGGAGGATGATTCATGGATGGAATAGAGCATAATCCGCCTCGGAAGGAGCCGGGAAACCTCCCTCGTCAGTCCATCACATCACCACTTGGACACATTCCGAAGGGAGAAGTACGTATCCCGTGACAATACCCTAGCATTTGCTAGAGGACTATCGGTTACTTTGTTCAATGCTACCGAGGGCCGAAGTGGATGGTTTTCTGACCTTGGCGACTGGTCCCTTGGACATCATAGTTTAGCCTAGGTAAATCTAGTGGACGTCATGTCCACCTACTAGGTCCGATAGGAGTTGCAACAGTGGTGGTATAATTATTTCTTGGGCCATGGATTCAAGACACTGGCATGGGTTGTACCGTGTACCTGAGAAGCAGGCGATCATAACACGTTTCACTAGATCGGAAATGAAAGGATAAAAGATAGAACGAATTAAGAACAGGAGCACTTCGCCATTAAATCACGGCGCTAATATTCCATACAACAGAATCATACATCAACGTCACTTTCTCTGGGTCTGCTGTTTAGGACCTAAGAGGTCCTCCAGAAATCCGGACCAAAGCTCTCTGACAATACCGGGTTCCTTGGCTTGTGATCCGTTCTGCTGTCTTTGCAGCTCTTCCCCGAAACGGGATCTGCCAACGGTCTCCGTCAAGGAGAATGGATCAATATCCATTGAGTGATTATCAACAACCTCACTCATGGGGCTCGCAGCCACATCTTCTCCGGATACAGTATAGACCTGGGGCTTCATGGGCGGGTCGGACGTGATCGACTGCTTTGAGGGATCATAGTACTTGTAGATATCGGAGAGGATCGGAAAGCGTGGGTCCGGACGAGAGGGAGGAGCATCAATCTCCTCCATAGAAGGGAAGTATGCAAAATCGACAGTGGATGAATCTCCGACGGCCTTTGCGGCACGAGAAGTGTTGAAATGACGGACGGAGGGACTGGACATGGTAACAAATGATGTCAGTGCTGAGGGTTTCGATGAGTAAACTAAGTGCGGGCGAGCATACTCTGTAGAAGAGCTGCCATTGATTCTTTTCATGGCGATGCTAAAAGCACGAGACTGTAGGAAATCATGGTTGGAAAGCCGTTCCACAAGCTGTAAGTTGAAATAGGAGAATCAGTCGCAGCTCATGCATGAGTGACACAGCTATCCGGTATACAAACCTCGGCTTGAGTACCATTGCTTGCTATCGATCTCTTTTTGCATTCGAGCTTGAGATCAGCCAAAGTACGAGTGGCATAAAACGAAGCCTTGTCGGTCACATTAACCGGTTGCGCGGAGTTTGCGCCAGTGATATGCAAGCTACGGCGAACGCAAGGTGTAGTGGTATGTTGCTGGGAAAGCACGCGGAGAGCGCGTAATGAAGTTGAACGGGGAGCAGCCATGATCAATGAAATGGATTCGCGAGTATGAAAGTAAAATGTCGCTTTAAAGATGTATTAGTGTAAAGGAGTCAGTGAGGTTGCCCGATGGATGTTTGTTGAGCTCTGGAATGAACTATGAAGATAGGGCTGAATGAGGTTATGCTAAGCGATCAGGATGAGATAAGGAGTAGAACGAAGTGTGATAAAGTGTCGAGGTTACAGGAAAGTATTTTCAGAAACAGAGTAGATATATTAAGAGTAGGAGAAGAGAGGAGAGAAAGGAAAAAGGCAATGGGTGGCCCGGGGAAAGCTGATATACTTGAATATCTCAAGGGATCCGAACCGTTGGGGGGGGAATGGCATAGGATGAGCTCTACCTACCTTAGATCGTCCTTTTTTAGGTAGCTTCCAAGTGGATACCTGGAACACTGGGGAACGGGGCGGTCTGGCCAAGTCTGGCTATGCTGACTTTAGTGACCCAGCGGATTGTAATAGTAGCAACGACTAGCAACTAAAAAGTGCGGTTAAAGGGATCGACAGCGTACAGAGTGAGCAGTGTTCTGGGCAGGCAGATTTAAAGTAGGCAGTAAGGGATTTGTTTGTCCGAGAATCAAAAGTGAGAAAAAGCAAACACAGGGGAAATGATGGGTCTCCTTCAACAGACCGAGATGGGTGGGCGATGAGGGGTAGAAATGTGAAATAATGGTAGGGGAAGGGGAAGTAGGATGGAATCTGCGTCGTACATTTTGTACTACTTGTACCTTTGGAGTCACCGTAAATCTACACCGTACTCCGGAGATGGAGGTATCCCGGATTTGGATTCTGCCAGACTAGCATCGTACTATTTCTACTCTGTTGAAGTGTTGAAGGATGAGACGAGAATTATGCCATCTTCCCCGGTGCCCCCGGTTGGTGAAGCAGCCAATGAATCAGCCTGCGGTCCCATTTCTATGAGACTATGACTGCGGAACACCATTGAGACGGAGAGTTGGTCAGTTGATGATCATCTGAGCAACCTAGAAATCGACCACCCACCATCCACATTCGGACTTTGCGAGCATCTTCTCCGACTGGCAAGTTTTAGATTGACCTTTCTTGTTGATCTTCCCCTCATTCTCCCGTCATACACTGGTGACGTGAAGTAATTGTACGGATAAACAGTGTAATGCATGGTAAACTTCCGGGGTCCTGGTCTTCCGGAATGTATATGATAGGAGGCAGTACAGTTGATCCTTTCTTCCTTCGCTCCGACTCGCATATCCAACGTAAAATTGTATGTTTGTCCATGTCATTGACGCTCTCGTAGGATCCTGCTAAACATAACCCAACCCCGAGTTGATCGAATGCGCGCCAGCGTGCCTTGATAGTCGGTCGTTTGCGCTCGCCAGCAAATGTATGCCACTAGACTGCAGCAAAAATAAAGATGACAGCGGTAGTACTTTCGCAGCCGGCAGGGGTTCAACTTCTACAATGTGATAACTCAGTGTTGTCTGGAAACGAATAACATTCGCATATTTCCATGCTGGGTAGACGGAAGTTGGGTAAGATTAACAAAAAATGTCGAATGGTCATGTGGTCATGTATTCGGGACTTGTCTCCAGTGAACCTATCTTCACATCTGTAAAGTCGGGTCCCGGCGAGTTCCTGGAACTGGTCTAGCGCACTCAGCGCTCCTATTCTGGAAAGGCATCTTGATGAGGCTTGGCGTAATAGCTCTCTCAAGCTTCGCTGCTGGGTGTGGCGTGAAGCAAGTAAGGTGAAGGAGGATTACCTAGAAACATTGACCAAATCAACTACTGGTAGTCTAATTTTATCGAATATTTACTGGTCTTGCCCTCAGAAACTTCACGTACTTTACTTCTCTCGATCCTTAATCAACTCCTCTTCTACAATCTACTAGTCAAATACTTCACGTTCCTTGGTCGCAACGAATACTGCGGATGTTCCACGAGGCACTTTAGGACAATGATTTCTTATCTATTGATATATCTCTAAAAACTTGAGTTCTTCAAGAACTGGTCGCTTAGCTCAGTCGGTTAGAGCGTGGTGCTAATAACGCCAAGGTCGCGAGTTCGACCCTCGTAGTGACCATTTTTTGTTATTTTCTTCGTCTTTTCTTTTTTGCTCTGCCTGTCTCATCTGGAATGCAATATGTGATTTCAATATCATGATGAGATCTCAATATGTTATTATTGTAGATATCGTCTGAATATTTACTCAATTTCCGTAACATGGTGGTGACGACCAACATATATATATATATATCTTGCGGCATATCCCTGATGTAGACTAACAATAAGTACGAATCAGAAGCTAGACCACTGGCTACAACTGCAGCAGAAGAACAATTATGTCCATCAAGTTCAGTGCTTCTTCGTGAATCACCCGCTCGAAGAGGTGGCTGTATAAAAATACCAAGCAAGGGCCGGTTTCAGCAGTCAGAACATGATACGAGTGAGGCCCAATGACAAACTTCTAGTATCCATCATAACGGATCACTGCTCCAGTGTATGTATTACTTGTATCATAAAATCTGAATGCACGGGCTGTGAGAGAAATATCCTCGTGAATCCCCATCTCATCAGGTTTAAAGCTTGGCGACTTCCTTTGAACGCCGACCCTTTGCAACCGCTCGGGCATACGGATGTGACCGAGAGTCAGGAACTAGATGATCAATATCGCCCGTGTGGACCATATGAGGGCCAGCCTCATCAAGTGACGTAATCCCATTGTTCCGCATCGCTGTCTCTAGCTCATCTTTCATAACTGCAATGGCTGGTTAGCTTCATAGGTTTCGACGTGGGACATCACCTACTGTCTATCAGATGTTCGACTCCTTCCTGCCCGTAATTCGTGGCGAAGAGCATGCTGCGCCCCATGCCGACAGCGGTGGCACCCAGGCAGATGGCTTTGAGTATGTCCGTTCCCCGACGGATTCCGCTGTCCACATATATCTCCATCTTGTCGAAGATCTCCGGACAGCGCTTATGAAGCTCAAGCAGAGTGAGTATAGATGGAGGGCTCGTGTCAAGATTGCGACCTCCGTGATTGCTGAGAAGAATGCCATCCAACCCAGCCTGCATCGCCAAGATCGCGTCATCCGCAGACATCACTCCCTTCAGACACACGGGTAGATGCGTATGCTTTCGAACCCACACCAAGTCATCCCAAGTCAGTCCAGGGTCAATGAAGCCGGCCATCACACGTCCAAGGCCGCCGCCCTTCTTGTCGTTCTTCGCTCGTGCCGGTGCCATGGGCACAGACAAGTTCTCATCGGCTTTGACTCGCTCATCCGCTTCCCGTTTGCCTGGCCATGCAGCATCGACTGTCACAAAAACTGCCTTGACGTTCGGATTGGCCGAGCATTGACGAAGAAGCGCTGCAGACTTCGATCTGTCTCGATTAACGTACAGCTGGAAGAAGAAATTTGCCGAAGGAGCCGCGTCTTTCAGCTGATCCAGAGTGTACGAAGAATTGTTGGAAACCTTCCCTATAATGAGCACTAGAGCTTGACAACGCGCAATGGGACGAAATGGGATATAAGATCATGACGTACTCCTTGCATGATACCTTTGCGCTCACATGCCCGGGCAATCGCACACTCTCCCTCCGGATGGATAAGCTTAGCCATAGCAGCCGGGCTTACGAACAATGGCATGCTACAACTGACGCCGAGAATCCTGGAGCTTGGATCCACGGATCGAACGTTTCGGAGGACGCGAGGTCGAAACCAGATCCTGTCGAAGCAAGATTTGTTCGCATCGCGAGTGATGAGATCGGTCGAGGCGCTGGAATAAAATGCCCACGTCTTTTTGCTTGCGGTCTTGGACGCCACAAGTTCGAAATCGTGTGAGTTGATCAGAGTGTGCAAGGGCGGCTTCTCGTTGTCCAGGACGACCTGTGGATTCTCGCTGGGAGGCTGTTTGAGCCATTCTTCATCGATTGCGGACGTGTCGAGGATTCCCTTGTACTTCTCTGGCGGTAGATTTGATTTGATGACACCAGGAGAGTGAACCTCTGAGTAGGCCTTGGTGGCATCACGGCCCGCGTATTTCAGAATGACTGAATAACGTGAGCTTTCTGAGTTCAGTGCCCGCATAACCGGCAAATCTTACTTTTTGACCCTCCAGGGTGTTCCTCCACAAAATCAGTTACGTCCCATACTTTATTATCAACAACAATCCAACAATCATCAGGCGATTTGTGTTTCAACACCTCTTTAGTGGATAAAAGCTTCTCGCCAGCCATCTTTACTTTCCTGAAATTCGCGCAGTACAGTGGTTTGCAGAACAAATCCTTTCGAAGACTCCCAGCCGAAAGTGATTATACTCGAGCAACTGCAGGAGATGAGCCTGAAACGAATATTAGAGGCGCTGTTGGTTATATAGACTGTAGCTGCATTGCACTTCGGAGAGCTCTCCACAAGGGCCTAAGCAGAGTGCGGAGAAGCGAATTTTGCTCCACAGCGGCCTAGGGCCGCGTTTGGGGGTTCACAACTAGCCCGAAGTGCTGGAAAGCATGAACAATTAAGGAAGGGCTGACGGATCCACGAATCAAATTATTAGAGTCACCTTGGGAAATTCGGGATTAGAAATACCGAGAATGCTATCTTTCGTTCTCACAATGATTCTTGATGCCTCAAGCAATCTCAACAAAAAGGGGGAACATGGGGAACATTTGCTTCGAATGTATGTCCGGTAACTCAGCAGAGATGGATACAGAAGAGGCAACCTACTTTACCTGTCTCTACTCCATTTGCCTTTTTTCATGAAGCAAAACATAGGTACGCTTCAATTGTTGCAGACATCGATTCTTGCTTTTCTCTCATGCACCGAACTGCCAGATTCTCTCGGTCGAAAGCATCGGGGCCGTCGCCGACAAAACCAGTCGACATCGGGTTTCGCTCCGGGGAGGGCTTATGTAATTACCACGTGCTTTTTCTCCAGCCACACAGGGGCACAGGGGATTTGTGGCTAAGCACTACGGAGTACTTGGACACAATTTGGAGAAATCTAATCATTGTATTCCGGCACATGATATCTACTTGCTTGCCAGGAATCTAATATTGCCCACAGACAGTGCTCGGAGTGACTTCGTACATCTTCAACGAAGTGACTCATTGTCTGATGCGTGTGACTCACAGCGTAGGCAATATTCTGAAGGCTGCTGGGAGTAGTAATTGTACCTCTTTCCTCGGTTGCGTAGGATCCAGGATCAGAGAAAAGTCCCTCAATCTACACTCGCAACTGCCTCTGGGTTGCCCTGAAAATTGTTCAGGTATGTTTAGACGGTTAAATTCAATCTCACAGCTTAAGGAATGCTCCTCTGCTTGATTAGATGGATTGGAAACGGTAGTATTGCAGACTGGCTCACCGATAAATGCAGTCTCAGGGAGTAGTCTGCTGAAGTCAGGACGTACCTCTTCTTATTCTCTCTTGAACTGCAAAAGATATTACAGTTCTGCTGTGAATAAAGCACCAGCCAAAGTCAAGATGAGTGATTATAGCAAGCCCTTGAGATATGTTGATGTAAGTGTTCCTTTACAAGCATCGTATATCTGCAATGACTGTTGCTAAGATCGACTGCTCCTAGATTGGAATCAACCTTGGTGACCCTGTATTTCGAGGAGAATATCACGGCAGGCAGGTTCATGACAATGACCTTGACGATGTCATTCAGCGTGCCCGCGATGTGGGGTGCACGAAGTTCATGGTGACTGGTTCAGATCTAGTAGAATCTCGGCATGCTATTCAGCTTGCTCAAAGTTACCGTAAGTTGCACACCTAGCTTTCCCTTACCCATTGTTTCTTTGTGCTATGAAGCCTAACAAGCTCGGATACCAGCTGGTTTCTGTTACGCAACTGTTGGTGTTCATCCATGTCAAGCAAAGCTCTTCGATGAATTTCCTGGCGGTCCAGACAAGATGTTGGAGGAGCTGAAGTCTCTGGCGCTGGAAGCAAAAGCAGCCGGGCATGCTGTTGCATTCGGTGAAATCGGTCTAGATTATGACCGACTGTTCCTCAGCGCCAAAGAACCTCAGCTGAAATATTTCGAAGCTCAACTGGATCTTGCGGTGGACATACAGCTCCCGCTCTTTCTTCATTCCAGAGCCGCCAGTGAGGATTTTGAGAAGTTGCTAGCTCCCAGACTGGAGAAACTTCCCAAGAAAGGCTTGGTGCACAGTTTTACAGGGACAATGGACGAGATGAAACGGATGCTGGCGCTGGGTTTGGACATCGGTGTCAACGGATGCAGCCTGAAGACGGAGGAGAACTTGGAGGTGGTGAAAGCTATTCCACTTGATCGAATCCAGATAGAGACTGATGGTCCATGGGTATGGAGTTCTCATCTCCCTTGCAACATCCTCACATTCTTTCCTCTCTGACTGGCAAATCCTTTAGTGCGAGATCCGGCCCTCTCACGCATCCGCTAAGTACCTGGAGGGTTCTCCAGCATTGCCCAAGGCAGTCAAGAAGGAGAAATGGCAGAAGGGCCTTATGGTCAAGGGTCGCAATGAACCCATTGCGATAGCCCATGTTGCCCATGTCATCGCTAGATTAAAGGATATTACGGCGGAGGAGGTTTGCGAGGCGTAGGTTATTCGGATTGAAACTTTTGGCCACTAAGGAGCTGACTTCTCCATACTTAGGGCTTGGAATAACTCAATAAGTATGTTCGGACTCGGAGAGGAAGTGTCGTAACTCTTTGCTCTCCGTGTTTTGAAGCTGCTCACCGGAAGGGGAGGGAAACAGTTGCTTGGGATTTGTCAAGCCCAGTCATTCTGTCCATACCCAAACTTTGACTCCGATAGATAGAAATGCTTGCAAGCGTGTAATGAATTTTGCTTTCCAATGTTCATGGCCAAGCTGTCTGATTCAAACTGACCGAAGCTCTTCTGATTCGAACACTTCAGGCGTCGATTTACAAAGTTGGCATCGTCTGGCAAAGAAAGCAGTCCATTTTCCAATCACTACGAAAGTGATTCAGCAGAGAAGCGACTTCAACTGTGACTCTTTGCTCCTGCCATGATATTCTGAGCCGGGACTATAACGGACTTAATATGAGGCTATCTTTGTTGAAGCAATATGCTGTGACAGAAGTTGGTAGTTATATTTTCCACTTGCAATTGCTGAACGCCTTCTAGATCTTGTTCCCTAGGCTTCAATATAGGCCTGTTTCATGCCAGATATCGCAGGTCAAGCTCGTGCTAGCGCGGTTTTTGTCAAACTGTGCCATTCACTCTGTTGATATCCCTCCTCCAGTAGCTCACCGCCCATACTTCTTCAACAGTCTATGTCTCACTGTCTATGTTGTTGTTATTGACGAGATAACGAAGATAACCTACTCACTGATCTATTCTCTTTCTCGCTTTCCCATCCTGTCTCCTGACACTCTCGAATACCTCCATCATGGCCTCTCCTCAAGCCTTTTTGTTTGACTGAACACCGGTTCATCGGGCCATCGACTTTCTATCCTCGGACTCTCCCATAGAACTGACGTCTCTTCCGAACACTCTTACAATCCGTCCTGGAACCTACCGTATCCAGATTCCTGGGTTGGTAGACACGTCTCAAAGCTCGTTGCTCTGTATTCCCCTGCCTCGAGGCATATCGCAGGCGCCTGACGGTTCCCTTCAAACAAGGGAGCGTTGAGACCACCAAGACGCGTCAAGGCTGCCCTGAATTTCATCTGTGTCAAAGAAAACATTACGATGGCTACACCGCTTAGTGAGAAGTCTTCCAATAGCTCCCTCAGGGCTAAAGCAGGTGAGCATTTTTCAGTTTGTTGTTGGCCTTTGCAGTGAGCCTTTTACTGATTAGACCGCGTCAACCAGGTGAAAGGACTCGTCTCAGAGAAACATCATTGGAGTCGGAGATCATCCACACTGAAAAGTTGCCTCCAAATTTCGGAGAGGTTGTCAAAGAAGTCTATAGAAGCTCTTTTCCGCACCCTTGGCATTTCCAAGCACTAAAGAAGCTGGGCCTCAGGATGATTGTGTAAGTGGCCGCCATATAAGATCATCACCCCTTCCTTACGCTTGTCCACATAGTACGTTAGTTGAAGGGGATTACACTCAGGACCACCAGGTCTTTCTCAAAGAGAATGGTATAGAGCATCGTCGCATTCTTATCCTGGCAAACAAAGATCCCACGATTCGAACTCCGGACCATGTCGTGAATCGAGTCCTGGAAATTATGCTCAACAAGGCCAATCACCCATCTCTTCTACACTGCAACAAGGGAAAGGTGAGCGCAAAGGCTGATAATACGAATTCGACCTGACTAACCAGTCTTGATAGCATCGGACTGGATGCATTGTCGGCTGCTTTCGGAAGGTTCAGGGCTGGGACATGCCAGCTATTCGCAAAGAATACATCAATTTTTCGTGGCCGAAATCAAGGCCCCTCGACGAACGATTCATTGAACTTTTCGATGACACAAGACTCAGAGCCCTCGCTGTTTCTTCTGGTGCAAGCTCATGGCCTGCTGGTGTAATGCTCAATCCGCTTCGCGAAGAAGTAGTCGAGGACGAGAACGCCCCGAGAGGCAGTAGGCATTCTTCTGCCAGTGTATTTCACAAGTCCGACGCTATGTGATGGACTTAGCGCACTTTGCATGACTATCACACTATCTGATGAAGGACTGGATGTCTTCGACGGGTACGACTGTACCGATGTTGAAACAATTTGACCGCATGGAGTACGGAGCACGAAGGTGCATTGGGACGGCGCATGTTGACTCATAATTGACCGTGATCTCTCTGTCAGATACCCAACACTTTATTGACTGATGCTACAGTGGCGTGTTCGGTGTATGGTGTTGCGAATGGACGGTAATTCGGGCTAATGTTATGAATTAATTCAGGTGTGGGTTTCTCTTACTTTGTCTGAGAATAGATGGATAATCGATGGCTGCACTGGTATCTTCTCTTATTATTCTAATAGAACACAACGAGTACCCAATCTCTTTGGCTGAAGTTGGATCCTCTTGATTGTGAACGCGGCCTATTAGGCCTATTTGAAACGTGTCAATTTGTTGTAACGCTATGTAGTTGATAATGTATATACTGTAGAAGGTCATTCATGCAGATAGATACCCTGCAGCTCGACAGCCTGTTATTACAGATTATAGAACCCAATTGTGGTCACACAGCATCAGGTCACAGTCCTCATCGGAAGTCTCACAAGTCCCCGAGAAGCTAGAGCTATAGGGAAGAAGTTGTGGGCTCGTAGACTCATCTTCAAAGCAGTCCGATGCCAGCATCTCGCCATCACTTATGGAAAGGTGGCAGGAGAGTTGCTCAGAAAGATTGAACACGGATATTGTGGTTTTAGTCTGGGTATGGTCAAGTATTGTCTGGTCTTCCCAAATTCGATCAAGTTTGGTATCCCCATGCCCCAGCATATCAATTGAATGGTGTGAATAATTTCCATCAAAGGATAAGACGGAGTTCGTCTCGTCTTCCTCCATGAGCTCCTGGTCCTCGGAGTTGCTTCCCAAATAATAATCGGAGTCGTATATCTCGTGATTTTCACTGTTCAGATCATCGTGAAAGTCATCCATGCCTACTTCTGACAAAAGATCCTCTTCAGCTCCTCTAAGATCATCGGCGGAAGTAGTCACAGCATCTGATGCACTCAATTTTCGCGAAGCGCGGGGATCATATAGTTGCTTCTGGGCAATCTTCCAGAGGGCAGTCTGCATTGCTGCTCTAAAGTCGGTCGACCTCGGTGCCTGAGACGCTTCTGTTTGAGAATTATGCAAAGCTTGAAGATCGTTAAGTCTGCTTTGTAAAGTCGGATTTCTTGACGTTTTCAGAACTGAAGCTAGGGACTTCGCGATGGACGGAATCAAGTGGGATCGCTGGTTCATGGCCTGTGGATGGAGACATGCGTGTCAGTTATATGTACCCTTCTTGGTGAAAGCCAATCAGGAATAGTACCTCACGGTAGCCTAAGCTGAACACCGAAGGCACAATGCGTGACAGGGGTTGGAGAACCCTGTCTCCTGAGCTCTGAGTGCCTGTATCACTCTGCCGACATCTATCGACTATGAGCGATCGAAAGCCTTTCCTGAACAGTTGATCAAGCTCGTTGTAAATCTGACTATCAGGGTCTTCCTCCATTCGGTAGTCGTCTTTCATATCCCCAAGCTCCTCCAAGAACAACCGTGTGCTGCTGTCCATGAATTCGTCTACACAGTCTGTTTGCGTCACAGGAAGCTTCGGAAAGCCTTGTAGGCCTTCTATTGTACTCCATTGCTTGGGATTGGCTATAAATGTTTTGGGAGGTACTGAGATTGGCAGGTTCGGCGCTAATTGGAAGTATTCCTGTCTGACTTTGTTCGAGTCGTAGACTTCAAGGAATACGTTTATCGTAGACAAGTATGCTGTGTGAATATTCGCAGGAGGAGCAGCATCCCCGTCGTGTTGCGCCGATATTGGTACTCGTAGGAATCTGTTTGTTGACGGCCGTCCAGCTTTTCTTCGCAATCCAAAGGAAAGCTTGATGGTCGTTGAATTGTCCGATCCGGACAAACGGTCGCAGCTTCGGAGTAGGACAGCAAGGTCCAAATCTGACCAGAGCTGCAGGGTGTCTGTCAGTAGATCGGTCGATCACAGCCCTGTGTAAGTGGTTCTGGGTTCTTGGCCCGTGATAACGTACTTTTGACTTGCGAATTATATCTCCTACGTGAGAGATGAAAGATGGAACTGGCTCGGAGAAATGAGATCTGGTAGTGACGACGACATGCATTTTAATTTCTGGTGATTGGGAAATCCATATCAATCCAGAATTTATCAGTTTATTAAGATCCCCAGGGCGTCCAGAATTCAGATTTCCTGAGAGAGATATGTCCAGCGACGCACGTAGCATCAGAGACAAATCTGAGTTCGAGTGGGAGAGATGGATTGTATCTTGCCCTAGGCCAATAACCAGGGTCATGGTAAATGATGATTTGATGCTTTCAGCAGTGACTGATGATTCTCCGAGCAGTAAGAAGGGACTGGATTGGCAGGTCTTCTGTGTGCTTTACCTTAGCCTTCGGTTCTTCACGCAGGGGTGTTTGCATTACCTTATCAAATGCGGAGACATACAGCTGCTATCCTGGTCAGGTACATTTAGTATGTCAGTATCTATCAGAGCAACTCATCGTTTTGTTTTACTGGTATTTACTGCATTCAATAAATATACTACTGCAATCGGACCATGATATACTCATTGCAGTAGGGCTGTAACACTGATTGTTAGGAATTTGATTTATGTTTAGCACAGTAGATGATTTAATAACTTTCATAAAAAGAAGTCCATGGATCCAGCACATACTTACTTTCCATTCAACCTGGTCTGTCCAATATTAGAAAAAACGTAGATCAAACATGGCCCAAATGTTTAGTAGATGTGACATGCAAGTATAACTTGTAGCTGTGATTGGCTGTGGTCTTTCTTTGTTTGCTTATCGATAAGCGCCATCACGTGTGATCTTTGTGGTTACCTGGCCCCAAACGATGATCGGTTGGTAAAAAGGTGAGGTTACCATGAGCTTCAAATTCAGCAATGAAAGAGGATGAAGGACGGGAATCTCTATTACTTGACCATTATGGTCCAGATGAAGGAGAATCTCAATCGTTGCTCTCGGGATCTTCGAGCAAAGAAACCGATCGGCCAACCCATCCCCTTCCAAACAGTCCTCCCCTGATCTCCCCTTCTGCTCCTCCTGGTTCGCACCAGTATCGATCGTCAATCTCTCAGCCTGCTCCGGATGGGCAACGTCGCCCTCGTACAATGAATCGTGTTCGGTTTGATATTGAGGAAGAATCGGAAGAGGAAAGTCTCCCGAATGGACGCTCTCGCGACTCGGAGGACTCGTGGCTGGAGGAGGAGGATTATGCGCGGCCAAATGCAAGCCGATCGGGAAGAAATGGCAGAGGTCAGATGGTTCCTCTTTTGACGGATATAGAGGCGCCCAGTGTAACCCTTGCGACCTCCGATGATTTCTTCCCTGAGGATCACCTTGAGAACGCGAGGCCGAGGAGCGGAATGCGGATGGCCTTCATGAATATGGCCAACAGCATTATTGGAGCTGGTATCATCGGACAACCCTATGCGCTTCGGCAGGCGGGCATGACAATGGGAGTTTTACTCTTATGCGCGCTCACCGTCGCAGTGGATTGGACAATTCGCTTGATTGTGGTCAATTCTAAATTGAGCGGCGCGGATTCCTTCCAAGCAACGATGCAGCATTGTTTCGGGAAGAGTGGTCTCATTGCGATCTCCGTCGCTCAGTGGGCTTTTGCCTTTGGTGGCATGATTGCATTCTGCATAATTGTGGGTGATACTATACCGCATGTTTTCAGCTCTGTATTTCCTTCTCTTCGAGAGATGTCCTTCCTCTGGCTCCTTACGGATAGGCGAGCTATCATTGTTCTTTTTGTCCTGGGAGTCTCATACCCATTATCTCTGTACCGGGACATTGCCAAGGTGCGATTCTAATACTCTCTATGCAGCGGACGAACATTTCCGAGGCTAACAATGCAGCAGCTGGCTAAGGCGTCTGCGTTAGCGCTCATAAGTATGTTGGTGATTGTCGTTGCTGTAATTACCCAGGGATTCCGAGTTCCCTCAGAATCTCGTGGCGAGGTGAAGAGCCTACTTTTTATAAACTCTGGTTTCTTCCAGGCCGTGGGAGTGATATCTTTCGGTAAGTTTGCCTTGTCCAGAGAACCTGAAGTTCTAGTGTCTAACCGACCATAGCCTTCGTTTGCCGTATGTCGCCCACCGCATATACATAATCCGCAAGACCCTAACTGACCGTCCAAAGACCACAATAGTCTCTTGATTTATGGTTCTCTCAAGAAGCCAACCATGGATCGCTTCGCAAAAGTAACCCATTACTCAACCGCCGTCTCCCTTTGTATGTGCTTGGCTATGGGTGTCTCAGGCTTCCTCTTCTTCGGATCCAAGACCCAAGGCAATGTGCTCAACAACTTCCCTTCTGATAATATAATGGTCAACATCGCGCGGCTGTAAGACCTCTTCCATACGACTAACAACCCTTGCTTAACCTAACATCAAATTGTCTGCAGTTGCTTTGGCCTGAATATGCTTACAACGCTGCCCCTTGAAGCCTTTGTTTGCCGGTCGGTCATGACGACCTACTACTTTCCCGACGAACCTTTCAACATGAATCGACACTTAATATTCACGACATCTCTGGTGGTGACAGCTATGGCCATGGCCTTGTTCACCTGTGATCTTGGGGCTGTATTCGAGCTCATTGGCGCAACAAGTGCAGCTGCTTTGGCGTACATATTTCCTCCGCTTTGTTACGTGAAGTTAAGCAATGCGAGTTGGAAATCTAAGGTTCCCGCATATCTGTGTATCGCCTTTGGTATCACAGTTATGGGAGTCAGCCTGTTGCAAGCTGTTGCAAAGATGATAAGCAGTGAGTTTGGGCCCTTGACGTTGATCTTCTTGAGGTCAGATCCGCTAACAGGAGAAATTCGCTGCGTAGATGAGGGTGGCACGAGGACTTGCAGTGCTTAGCAAGTAGTAATGCCTGTCTAAATATATGATTGCACCTTTGATCGGCCCATAGACGTCTCTCTCAGTCTTGGGACCGTTGTACATATACACGAATTACTTTCAAATAAACTGAACTCTTACTGATGAGAGATACCGACATGCCAGGAAGGGCCTCGTTGTAGTTTTGACGGGTATTCTTTCCTTCCAGATACCGTGAAGCTGATTCTTTGACACATCACCTTTGAAGGCTCTATTGGAATCTGATGTGATCTGGGATGCTCTGAGTATAACACTAATCCTTGTTCAACTGCTTCTGAACTGAGACTATGATCAGAGAGACACAGCGGTCTACATACAATCAGTAGAGTCCTTCCGTTTCAGTCCACTAGTTGCGTTTGCACTTGACGCCGTAGCAACAAACCACTGAACATTCCCAACACAATTTCTTCTTTGTTATTTTACTTCTTCTCTTTTCTCTCACACTCCCCTCCCTCTTTGTTTTCCCTGCACAATTCTCTGGTTTATGAAGCAGTTCATTGTTCCCTTACCTCGGTTTACTCCCAAACTGCCATAATCATGAAGGGGATAGTCACCTTTCCTACAGACTCCCACTAGACATTGGAAGAGTTTTTGTTGACCTTCAGGTATCTTCTGACTCTGAACTGACAACTAGAAGATCTTCCGCTACTTGCATCTTGACTTCATTTCGATTCTTATCAACAGAGAGTGGGCCCTCTGTTTGTTCCCCTGTGGTGCTTTGCTACATTCACTCATTCTCTTCATCGTCTCTGACTCTGGAAACATACGTCTGTTGCACTTTTGCTTACACATTTCCATTCTCGTACGTTCATATCTTGCAGATCTGAGCAAGTCATCATGGACGAAGAGGCAATCGAGCGCCTGAAGAGGCTTCAAATGGTAAGATAATTGTGCCTTATTGATACCGTCATAAGATGCTTGTAGGAGAGTCTGACTAACACTGAATTGTATATAGGAGGACCTTGGGACGCTTAGAAGAGAGTATATCTCGACTGTTGACACCAAGAAGTTCAAGAATATTCGCTTGGAGGATATCGAAGCCGCGCGAATGATATATGTTGCTGGATCAGACGCTGCGCGTCTGGCCCAAGCGAATCAAGCACGCCTTAACGCTTGGGCAAGTGAGTTTCTCACTACATTAAAAAATTATCCGGATTATTGGCTAAGATTTGAGAAAGATGCACACAAGGATTTAGGCGACCCGGCTGATCAAGAGCCTTTAGACCATCTTCTGAACGGCCAGAGCCACCGTCTTGGACTGCGCGCCGTGATAGAAGGGAGTGGTGGCCAGTCTTACTCAACAACCACCAAGAAGAATGATAGTTTCCCTCAGGTTGCGGGCCGTGCTCCGAGCGGCCGCTCTGCATCAACGAGAGGCTCCAAAACAACCGGCCGTGGCGGTGGTGTCATCGGTACAAGAGGTCGTGAAACAAAGCAGACCTCGCCAAAGTAAGCCACTGATCCCATTAGCAAGCCCGTGAATCTGGCCTAACCCACAACCAGCGCTCAGACAAGAGTCACACACCAAGGCGCCGTCGCAAAGCTGGGCAACCATGTGGTCCAGTCCCCTCACGCCAGGAAGCACCTGCAGGATCCTGCTCTTGATATCAATAATGAGCCGCCGAAGAAGGGTAGGGATGTATCTGCCTCGAAGTCGCAAACAGTTGTTAAAGGTGGTAAGTACAAGCCTCTGCGAGCTTGAAAGAAAGCTACCGATTGACTCTTCCGAGAAGGCGCGAAAAGAGACCTCGTTTTTCTCAAAACTAGACGGCCTACGTAAGTTCAACATCCACCGAGCCTTGGACACAATCTGACATTGTGCGATAGTGCTAACACCGATTGGTCAAGAGTCCTCAGCCCTCCTGAAGACTTCCTTTCTATCGCGCGCGGTTGTCTGGTCAATGGGAGGGCTTCGAATGTCCCAATAACTGTTCGTACCACGGGTTCTGAACAGACTGAAGTCACAGGGGCCGTTGATCACGAAACTCCCCAATCTATCAACCAACCTGAGGAGGCCAATGCGGGCCGAGCATACGAGGACTCCATCGTTTCTTTCCGTTCAGACGCGGACTCAGTGGCAGTCGCTACGCCTGTGTCCTCTAATAATGATCAAACATCTCGGGTAAGCATAGCCCAGGCAGCTCATACAGCGAGTGAAAGGAACCAGCGGTTTGAGCCCAGCAGACTACAATCTCCACAGCAAGGGAGACCGCAGCACGTCAAATCCACCTCCGAACAATCAGACGACAAAGCTCAAGCTGGAAAGCAAAACCAAGACAACGCGCTTGTTGATGTCTCAACACCGCCGTCCGGCTCAACTACAATCGTCCAGAGCAAAGATCTCTACTCTGCTAATGTCCAAGCCGAGGGGAAGACTGGAATTCTCCTTGACTTCAATTCCACTCCTCCAAGGAAGAGTCTCCCGGGCACGGAAGATAGTTTGTCGATGAGCCCAGCCCTGCAAGATTTGGAAGGCATCAATTTTCAAGCAAATGTTGCACAAAGTCTTCTTTCGAGGCCAGAATCGCGGCCAGAAACGCAGATATACTCTTTCATTAAGACTGAGCCAGTCGGTTCGAGGAACTCTTCCAGCCCAAGGATCGGGGAAAGCAGTGAGGATACGATGACCTCTACGCCTGACGGTACACCATCTGATCTAGCTGCCCTCCGAGAAAAGCTCGCACGCCTTTGCAAATTTGTGGAGGAAACATTGCGCCACCATGTGCCTGAGCCTCTCCGAGATATGGACTTGCAAGCTCTCAGGAAGTACGAACAAGAGCTCAAAGAGATACTTTCCTTGCACCAACGAACGGTGCAGGAGACTGCCTCACAGACTGTCGGAAAGCGACAGGAAATTCTCTCATCTCACAAACCTGGGGAAACGGAAGCTGAAACAGCCGTGGAAGGAAAACATTCCAAGATACCCCCCCCCACACCGTCGGTCTGTTCTGCTCCGGTGAAAGCTCCTGTTGAGGAAGGCAATAGTAGACTTAGTCTGCGTTCCGAGGACACACCTAGTCCGTCTAAATTCAATGTGCAAGCGAAGGAATTCGTCCCAACGGTTGCTGCCAGGAATCCCAGTTTCTGTGGCTGGCGAGATACTAAGCCTAGCCCTCCAAGCTCAACAACCTCCGAGTCACGAACTGGACAGTCACAACATTCTCGCCAGAATAGTCAAGTTCATATGCTTATTGATTCGACTGCTTCCGTTTCTTCACGATTCACATCTCAGCTCCCACCGCGCGGACGTCAGGCCAGTGAGAATCATATCTTTGGTGATCATTTATTGCCCGGTAGGGGAAGACTCAACGGTAAGACACATGGGAACGAAGCATTATTATCAGATAAGAACGCGTTGAAGGGTATGTATTCTTATATTTGTGATCTCTACCTGCTCATTGCTGACGCCTCATTTGTCTAGAGCCGGATGATACTTGTCCGAGATTCTTGACACCAACAATGCCACAAGCCCTTACTGTGCCTAGAGCAAGACCTTCCGTCCCTGAAAGCATAAACACGCATGGAACATCGAACTCGGAATCTGCCAAATCCACTAGTGCGTCGTGCAGTATCTATGAGCCTTCTCCGAGACCTGTCGGGTTGGCAACCTCTGCGCCAGGGACTGGATCTAATGGTGTGAAGTCAAATTCAGACTCAGGCCCATCTACTCCTACTCCTGTGCCCAAGGCAGTCAAAGCGGTGCATAAAGCTATTCCGAAGGTGAGCGCTATTTCGCAGGTGAATGCATTGCAACGGTCCATGCATGCTCCAAACGTGCAAGAGAATCCCACGGTCATGAAAAGTCTGAGCCCCTCAACATTGGGGGGCCTCAGAGGCTCGATCTACACAACCCTCGTGGTGCAAAAGCCTACTGTTGCAGCACCTGAGAATCGCAAGTCTAGTGGCCTTCTGGGCTCGAGATGGGCAAGCTCTGAGACTCAAAAACCACTACGTTGATCATCGCACACAGCCGTGATTTGCTTCGTCCGACTGTCTTCTCCGACCGATATTACATTATTTCCCTTTCTCTTGATTATGTGTCATGAACCTCCGAAATGTGAAATCTGTACGAGTAGCTATCCCTCACTGTCCTTACTCTAGCTAGCACTCCAACGCTCATATGTATGTATGGTTGTCATTACCATTTTTAGCACCTCTACTTCTTTGTCCTTTCGAGAGCACCTTCCTTTCTCGTGCCCCATCGTATGTAGGCAAGATGAGTGGCGACAAGAGTACTCAACCGATACATTCTACATTAGAGCACAAGCATTTTGACTATATGGCGGTGTTACACTGCGTACAGTTACTTGATGTATTCGGACTAATAATGGAATCTGTTCGTCTGCAAAGGTAGTGACTAAGGCTTGCAATGCCTCGTCGAGTCCGTTAGACCGTCGCCTGATGCTGTCTGATACCTCTCCCTGGCGTGAGCCCTGTGATTGAGAAAGTGGAACATGCAGAAAAAGGGGCTAATTCTTGCCATCTTAGGCTTAAGGGCTATATATGATTCATGCTTGAATGATCCTTGACGGCAAGCAAACGATGCAGGGCGCATCCATCAGTCCTTTCCTTGTTCGGAGTCAAGCAACCATTTAATGCTCATTGTAAGTCATTCCGCCCTGAAGGCCGGTCAAACGGACGGCAAGTGCCCAAAGATAAAGATGAAGATGCAGATCTAGCTGTAACCATCAAGCAATGACCAAAAGCTAATCTGCCGTCCCAGTAACTATGCCGTTATCGCCTAAACGCCGGCTACTCAACAAATCCTCTAAAATGACAACGAGGAGGTAAGCGAAAATAATGAGCGTGAAAGACCAAGTATACTCTATTGCTGCTGTTGCTGCTGCGGCGGTAAGGCCGGCGTCGAATTTCCATCAATCTTGGGTCTTTTGGGATCATTGGCATTGACTGCTGAAGCAGGCCCGCTGCTGCCAGAGACAGATGCATTCGTCACGTCACTTAAAGGCGGTCGTTTCCCATTAACGTTGGGTGGTCCAAATCCGGCTCTGTTTGCAGCTGCGTTGCTTGCAGCGACTTTTGGATCGAGATTTTGCCGAGTCAGTGGGCGGTATGATGAAGTCGTCTGACCCCGGTTCATCATTGGACTGCCAGTACCACCAGGGGCGCCAATTTTTCGATGCATGTCCGTGGAAGGATTGATAAAGTCGCGCGTATTGTTCGAAGCTGGCGAGGCTCCCGCAAGCATTGGCTTCGATATCGGGACACTCTTGCTATGATCGACGCCTGCTGTCTTGCGGATCGAGGGACTTTCGGCGTGGGGATCGAATTGGGGAGCATTCACAGCAGTATGTGGGTTTTCCCGCAACAAATCTACTGCTCGAGCTGAAAAGAATGAGGCGGGCGGAATAGAGGGTGAACTGGCCGGGGGAGCAGTATCCTGAGCTTTAGCGTCAAATTCTCGCTTGATAGGCATTTGGCCTGCAGCGCCCGGCAAGTTTGAATCTTGGCTAGTCCTTGGTTGATCAGGGGGTGCCATCCTGCTGTTTTGAAAGTTCTGCTGTTGTCCTTGCGGGACAGGTTGCCTTTGTCCGACATATTGGTTTTGCAGGGCAGGATTGTGTCTTTGATTGAGAGTGGGCGGAACGGAAGGTTGTCTGTTGTTGACTGTTTGGTTGAATGGCCTTTCTGGCCTAGAAGGTGTCACGACTGCCGCGTTTGGGCGGTGAAAATTCCCCTGATGGCCTGTCTTTACAGGAGTCGGCGGTTGTGGTTTTGCTTGGGTTTCTAGTTCCAGCACTATCTCATCAGGGTTTCCAGAGGCCGTGACTCCGAAATCAGCCTCGTCAAAGAGATCACCTAAATTCATTAGCCCTGAATGAACAGAAGAAATAAACACGGCCTGTTTTGCTTACTTCCAAACTCCCCATCGCCATCAAACACAGCAGTATCATTTGTACTTGTAGTATTCCCAGCATTTGGTAGACGAGGAGGGAGGTCGTCATCCTCTGGGACGGGTTTTGGTAGAACAGGCTCCTTCTTTATCGGTGCGTAGTCAGGATGCCGGTGAAGTTCGTCAACATCCCATCTCGCCTATAGGTTCGTCAGAACAAGACATTGTTCGAGTATCATGCCGAGGTTAGCAACATACAGGAGTGGCTTTCACTTTGGTGACTTTCGCAACATAATCCTTGTCGTAAATGCAGTTACCCAGAACGTTGCCAAAATTTCTCAATGCACGTTTAAGTGCATCAGTAGTTCCTTCTTTCTTGGCCTTTTCAAAAGCAGCAGCCTTTCCTTTGCAATTCTCAATATGACCGTAACCGATGTCCTGAGTTGATCCAGACCAGTTAGTAAGGGCAACCGTATGAAGTACGCAACCGTGAACACATACTTCATGGTAAGTACCATCCTTCAGTGTTACCCTCACGATGACCGATAGCCCCAAGCTGATCTTCCCAGTATTTTGACTTTCCTCAACCTGTCACGAAGCATCCATTAGCAATTTCTCCCAACCACCGCCCGAACGCGTTCTGATCCGTTTCATCGAACATACAAAATCAATCTGAATATTCTGTATTGAACTCGACCAGCCATTGAAGCCAAACACCTCATTGGCAAGATTGATGCATTTATCCGCGGATAGATAGTGCACCTTCTGTCCCGCGGCGCCAGGCCTCGAGGAGATGTATTCAGGGCCCAATTTCTTATCTAGGCGTGCTTGGAGTGTAGCAATTTCCTGCGCTGTGTACTCGCTGATCCGCCGAGGCGGCTCTTCAAATGGGTTGCCGGACATGTTTCCTGTCGAATTTGGCATCATGACGCATACTGGACCACTGCGGTGTTGGTCGCCGACACTGCAGTAAGTCGCGATTAGTTTTGGTCATGGGCATAACAATACGAATAGAGTATCACATATTAACTTACGCGGGCATAATTCGGTGATATGAATAAGCTGCGAAATATCAGGTCATTGAAGCCCGCGCGTATTTATGCTCTGTCGAGCAGGACGATGAGGCAATGAGACTGATGAGTATACAATGATGAAGAGCACAAGGTAATGAGACGCGTCAGGCAACACGGACATGTCGCGACATCACGTGATCACGCTCATGAGTACAATTACTGGCCCAGCGCTCAATTCACTGATTGGTAGTTGCGTGTCTGGATATCTATTACTTCAATTTTTACGCAGTAGACTTGGTTGGATAGTAATTGTCTGCGTTAATATCGTAATCAACGTGCAAAGTGGTTGCAGCCTGACTAAGGCGGCCAGCTTCACCGAGTCCAATACCACAATCACTGGACTATAAGGCTGGCGCTGGGAACAAGTCCAAGGTCTTTTAGAGACTCACCAAAGAATTCGGCGTCGTATACTTTTCTGGGAAAGTTTTGCACGAAGCTTTGCACCTCAATGCCGTCCTCCTGTTGCAAGGCTGCGGCAACTTCGAACAAGGTAGTAGTGACGGGCATTGTTTTCATGACATTCCCTTTGGGCGTCTGGAATCTCAGTCGAGTCTCAGTGTAAACAGCTGCGGGCTTGGAAGCAACAGGTCCCGAGGTTGTAGGCGCTGGAGCAGCTTGTTGTGCAGGAGGTGCCATGCCGGCACGCTCGGCTTTCTCCCGCTCAGCTCTCAGTCTCCGCTCTTCTTTATCCGCTTCGATCCTGGCTTTAATGCGACGCTTGGCTTCAAGTTCCTCCAGTTTCTCTTGCTTCTTCTTGGCCGCTTCCTTCATCATCTGTTTTCTCTGCAGCTCTTCCTTGATGTCTTGCGATTCTTTGGTGCTCTTCCGTCGGATTTCCTGTACCGAAACTATCAGTAGGTGATGTTGAACGGGGCTGGCAGAATGCCCTCACCTCATTCCTTTTCTGATCTAGTTTATCCTGCTCAGTCTGTACCGCTCGCTTTGCGGCCAACCTCTGCCGGAGCTCCTCCAATCTGGCCTTCTTCTCCTCCTCTGTCAAGGGTGCAATCTCCTCCGTTGACTCTGAGAAGTCCACATGCCCGGACTTAGATGCGTGAAATTCTGCCTGTGCCTGGCTGCGGAACTTTTTCCCACATTCGTTACAAGCCAGACTGCGGGGTTCTTCACCGGGTTGCAATGCGGGCCCCTCCTCATTCTCCCCTTGTTTCGACCCAGCAGCCTTTATTTCCTCCAACGACTTGTCTTGGTTTCCCTCAAGCCACTCTAAAGCTCCTTGGACTGAAATTGATCGAAAGGAAAGATCAGTACTTCATACGAGGTGAGGAGTGAGGGGTGCCCTTACGTCCACCGGTTCTCGCCACCGCCAGCTCCGCTCTCTCTTTATCGAAGCCCATTTCAATGAGCTGATCCAAGTCTGAAGTAGCCATCTCGTAAAGCCGAAGTGATAATTCTGAGGAAGGTGATGCCCTGACGTGGGGAAGCTGTCGAGAGTTCGGAGCGGAAGTAAAGGCCAAGCCGTATAGACCCTAAAGCTTCTCCGATATGCTAGAAGAGAATGTCAAGGTTAGATAGGTTGGTCTATGCAGCTGCTCAGGGGCCGGAGCGCGATTGGAAAAAGCTGCGGTTGGCTGAAGAGGAGATTGTACACAGCAGTAGGTAGATAGATGCCAGTTTACAAGTGACGTAGAGAGGTACAGCCTTTGAGCTTAGGCGGCGAAGTGAGAGATGCGGGATGGTCCACTTTTATTAATAAAGGGCGGAGTTCTAGGTACCGGAAATCTTACATCTTAGTACTGTTCTAGCAGCATAACCGTCCTGACAAAGAACTAAGATTTGTTCCCATTAGGGCTGAGATAATGAGAGAAATGAAGGCTGTGTTGTTTTCACTGAGGGCGCATGTAATATAACTCAATGGGAAAGAGACTTACAAATGCTGAAAGATTGTCCACTACGGGGTACAAAGTAGTATATAAGTGATAAAGTTGGGCAAGAAGAAGCATCTAGGAAGATGGTTACTGAATAGACAACCGTCGACAGGGATACTAGCCAGCTATCGGCCCAGTTCAGACCAT